AAACCAAGAGCATTTAGTAACAACAGCCATTGCCTAATATATTTCATGTTAAATAATATGATCCCAGTAGGAAGGTATGATGGAAGAAAAATAGTATGCAAATAAAAGAAAAATCACATAGATAAATCTATAAGCAAAGGTTGTCATTATAAAATAAAAATAATGCCCATTTTGGGGGTTAAAAAGAAAACAGAAAAAATACCATACAATACTAGCAAATTAGATGGGAAAGACTGATCAAAGTTAAAGCATCTAAGATCTTTTATACTGTCCTGTGAGAAAGGACACATTAGCTTTCATTAAGTATGAATTTGTTAAGTGACAAACAATAATGATAATGATTTAAAAACCAACAGTCAGAAATATTCCCAAAATATTTAAATTCACCAGAAATCATAGGCATATGTTGTTCAATTTTTTAATCTATAAATTGGCAAAGCTTTTTAAGTGATATTATCTAGTGTTGGTAACAAATGTAGAAAAAGAGTAAAATCCTATATTGCTAGTACACCTCAATAAGAATTTTATGACAGTGAGATATATAACTGACAGTGAGATGTCAATCTCTTATAGAATCTCAACTCACTGCCACAACGGCCACTACTTTATTTCAAGGTAGACAGATACAGCCCTTCATATCTTTATTTCTCAATATGTTGGCCTTGAAATCCTAGGGATGATAGTGGTACATATAGTTTATTACAAGATAAACTCTGTAAAGTAGTATGCACACTAAATATTATATGTGGATTGAAAAACTACATTTGAATATTAATTACGACATTTAAATACAATAAAATATTTAATTTTCATAACTACTTTTTCAAATATCATTACAATTAATAAAAACTACAAAATTGCATTTGTATTAAGAGAATGAAGTACATGTAATAAAAAATTAAAGATAACCACTGAAAATACATAGTGTATGTCTTCCACACTTAATAAGGGCAACATTGAATTAAAGGAAAAGCACTAACCTGTATTCATCCTGATTAATGAAAAAGATTTACAAAGCAAAACAGGAATATTAAAAGAGTAATCAAAAAACATAAAAAAAGGGAGACATAAATCCAATCATATTGCCAATAACAATAAAGTGAACAAAAAATTCTCAGATAATATCATTGCATTGGTTACCAAATATGTCTAAACATATGAACAATCTAAAGAGCTTCAGCCCTAGCTGGTATGGCTCAGTGGATAGAGCATCAGCCCACAGACTGAAGGGTCCTGGGTTCAATTCCAGTCAAGAGCACATACCTCTGTTGCAGGCCTATTCCTGGCCCCAGGTTGGGGTGCATGTGGGAGGCAACCAATCAATGTGTCTCTCTCACATCAATGTTTCTCTCTCTCTCTCTCTCTCTCTCTCTCTCTCTCTCTCTCTCTCCCCCTCCTTTCCACTCTCTCTAAAAATCAATGGAAAATATCCTCGAATGAGGATTAAAAAAATAAAATATTTTTTTAAAAAGAGCTTCCAAAAATACCTATGTCCCATGCCTAGAGAGACTATGTTTTAAATGGACTAGGACAGTGATGGCAAACCTTTTGAGCTTGGCGTGTCAGCATTTTGAAAAACCCTAACTTAACTCTGGTGCCGTGTCACATATAGAAATTTTTTGATATTTGCAACCATAGTAAAACAAAGACTTATATTTTTGATATTTATTTTATATATTTAAATGCCATTTAACAAAGAAAAATCAACCAAAAAAATGTGTTCACGTGTCACCTCTGACACGCGTGTCATAGGTTTGCCATCACTGGACTAGGGTATGGCCTGAGTTCTGGAATTTTTAAAAGGACGAAAGCTACTTCCAAAGTACATATAAGTTTGAAAGTCATTTTCATATTTTTTTCAAAGTGATTATGCCAATTGATACTACTATCAGTAAGGTATAGAGCAGTTAAAATATATATAATTCACTTTCATTCATCTAAATTATACATTCAATAGTTTTTAGTATACTCACAGAGTTGTGCAACAATCACCACAATGTAATTTTATAACATTTGTATCACCTTGGAAAGAAATCCATGCCTATTAGCAGTCCTTTTCAGTGTCCCCACTCTTATTCCCCAGTCCATCCCCACTTCCCAGTGTTGGACAACCACTAATCTACTTTCTCTCTATATATGTCTGTCTGTTGTGGACATTTCATATGAATGGAATTATACATTATGTAGGCTTTGTGTCTGGTTTCTTTCACTGAGCATTTTTTTCACACTGTGGCATGTATCAGAACTTCATTCCTTTAATTAATAAATAATATTAAATTGTATTCACTCATTTATTTGCTGGTGGACATTTGGAGGGTTTCCACTTTTTTACTATTGTGAATAATGAAGTATACAGCACTTCTATCTCCAAAAGTTGTGAAGACTGTCAGAGTTCTTTATTTTTTGCCAATCTAGGGTATCCTAATATATAAAAACCCAGGGTCCATAACATCCAAAATGACCAAAGGCTCGTCAGACAGGAAGTCAGTGTTGGGTTGCCATGGCAACCCAGCACTAACTGCTGCCGCTGCAGGAGCCCAACCCAGCACTGACTGCCGAGGGGGTTGCGGATCAGGCCTGAAGAGAGGCCTGGAGAGAAAAGCAGGGTCTGATCTGTAGCCTCCGTGACAGCTGTTGATCAGCACTTGCCTCTCTCTTTCGCTCCAGACTTAGCCAGCAATCATGCCTCTCTTTCTCTCTGGCCTCCGCTGGAGCTGCTGATCAGCCCCACCTCTCTGATCGGGCCTATTAATAAGCCTGGAGATGCTGACTGGCATGTAAACCGACCAATCAGAACCAAATCTGGGTGAAGTGCAAGGAGTCAGTGGCTGCCTAGGAGGCAGAGCTTTTGATGCTAACTGGCATAGAAACCAACCAATCAGAACCAAATCTGGGTGAATTGAGAAGGCAGAAGCTAAGGTGGTGAGGGCTGAGGAGGAGTTTTCAGGGCAACAGCGGTTTGGTGTAAGGTGTAAGAAAGTGGTTCAATTTTTTAATGACCGGTTTAGCAGTATAGTGCATATAGTGCATCAGTCCAGATATAAAGATTATGTATTTTTGCCTGCCAAGATCATCTCCTGATGAAAAAGGCTTACCCCTCCCCATTTAAGCAATCCTATCCTATATAATCTATCTATACTCATAAAAGGGTAATATGCTTATTACACCAGGTTGACCGGCCATCTTCTGGACAAAGCCATGGTGGTGGGGGCTGAGGCAGAGACCGTTAGAGGTGATCAGGATGGCAGGGGAGGGCAGTTGGGGGCGAGATCAAGCTTGCAGGGAAGGGCAGTTGGGGGCAAAATCAGGCCGGCAGGGGAGGGCAGTTGGGGGTGAGATCAGGCCTGCAGGAGAGGGCAGTTGGGAGCAAGATCAGGCCAGCAGGGGAGGGCAGTTGCGGGCAACCAAGCTGGAAGGGGAGGGCAGTTGGGGGCGAGATCAGGCCAGCAGGGGAGGGTAGTTGGGGGCAAACAGGCTGGCAGGGGAGGGCAGTTGGGGGCAACCAGGCCGGCAGGAGAGGGCAGTTGGGGGCGATCAGGCAGGCAGGCAGAGGTTAGGGGCAATCAGGCAGGCAGAGGGGTTAGGGGCAATCAGGCAGGTAGGCAGAGGCAGTTAAGGGTGATCAGGCAGCCAGGTGAATGGTTAGGATCCAGCAGTTCCAGATTGTAAGAGGGATGTCCGACCACCAGTTTAGGCCCGATCCTTGTTTAGGCCGTTAAAGTGTGTATGCATTTTTGGGGGGACACACTGTATTTTTGTTTTCAAATTATTTTTTATTTCTCCCACAAGAATGTAAATTTCAACAGAATAGGAAACTTGTCTAGTTCTTTATTTCTACAATGCCTACTACAGTCCTTGGCACAAAACAGGCCCTCAATAAATATATTTTTAATGAATGAAAACATTTTAAAGAATGCAGATAATGAAATGTCTAAATACAAAAAAATATATGAAAAGGAATTGACCAACAAGTTTATATAAAAGGGTTGTCACTGAGGAAAAGAAGAGTGCCTCCAGGCTTTTCTTCTGAAGTCAGAGGCATTTTTTCACAAGACTTGGGCCCTGTTGAAGAATGTACCACACAGTAACTTCATAAAGCCTTCATTGGAAAGAGGACTGAGGGGGCAAGAGATAGTTATATTCCAGTAACATAAAGAGTCCAAAGAATAAAGTGATCAGTTAGGTAGAAAAATCACTTATTAAAGTTTTAATGGATATAGACTCTCTCCTAAAAAAACTTTCTTAAACAATCACAGGTTCTTCCTGAGCTATTTTATAATAAAAAGTGTTTCTAGCATACTCATTCAATGTGAAATACAAAGTTCTTAAAGTGTAATATTCAATTACAAAACCTAAGTAAGAGAATGTGCTTGTTGCAACGGATTGGGTACACATGAATTGTTAGTGAAATGCATTGATCCATCCTATCCTATATAATAAAAGGGTAATATGCAAATTGTCCCCTCAACTGGAGTTCCACCGGAGTTCAAGGGGGGTGGGGGGGGAGTGGTCCCAGACCACCAACCGCCTGCAGGCCCTCCCCCCCAGCTGGCCTGGCCTGATTGGTCCCAATCTGGGCAGGCCAGCCGGAACCCACCCATGCACAAAGTCCTACACTGGGCCTCTAGTCACTATATAAATAAAATAAGCTCTTCTGTTGTAAAAAAAGCAAACATTTATTTCTGCATCTATTTTTTTAATATTAAACTCCTTTAGCAGATCTAAATTATAACAACAAATAGCAAAAGTGTCCCAAAATTCAAATCTAGCCCCTTGATCATTAAGGAAGATAGGAAGGAAGACAGAAGGAAGATAGGTAACTATATTTTAAAGATAAATGTGCCCTATATGAAACTATCTATGTCTGCCTCTAGTAATTTAAAACCATTCATTTGAGAAAAAGAAGAAATTCAGTTAATTACTTAAAAACAACCTTGAAATAACATCATATAAGGACTGATTTCAAAGTCAGATCCTAAAATACTATGGGGTATTCTTACCTAGTGACACCAAGTTACTATAGTTCTCCAACATCACATCTCTGTACAAATCCCTTTGAGCAAAGTCCAGGCATTCCCATTCTTCTTGAGAGAAGTCAATGGCAACATCCCTGAACATCACCAATCTCTGAAACAACAAACATAATACTAGTAGTGGATATAAAGAAAATGTATTTTCAGTGGAGGGGGAGATGATGCAGAGCTCTTAACCATAGAGATAACAGAACAAACATGCTAGGAAGTATCTCTCACATGGATGATACTACAAAAATTGGTGCTTCTGAAGTGACAACATGTTCCTTTTTATTCCTGTTGTAGCCATTTCCTGAATACAGAACATCTCATTATGCACATAGTCTGGGAATTAATAAAGTTAAATAAGTAAAATTAATTTTAAATGCAATGTCCCAATTAAAAGAAATAGCATACAGAAGCACCCTGTACAATCTTATCTTGTACATCCTACATGCTCAATAAATGAAAGTTTTCTTTTTTATTTACTATTTAAGAAATAAGAGTCCCTAACACTCTGCCCACCCACTTTGCAGGTCCATTTAAGCCACTTCCAGTGGCTTTTCTATAAAAATGGCCTGTCTTGGCTCATGCTGTGGACTTTCCTAAATTCGCTCAAAGGTTCACAGCCCCAAACAAGCAGCATCTGGCCTCAATATGCCAGGTACTTCTTGCTAAGTGGTCCCAGACATGGCACTAGCAGCAGACAAACTTGGTTCACACCTTGATTTCTCCCAGGCATCTCCAAGTAATTTAAAACCATTCATTTGAGAATAAATTACTACCTCTACTAATTTAAATCCATTCATTTGAGAATAAGAAAAAATTCAGTCAATTACTTAAAAACAACCTTGAAATAACATCATATAAGGCACCTCTCAGCACAAGTAGCACCCATCTGCAGATCACTTTGTAGCTCATGCCAAGTAGCCCTGGACAAGGCACAGGTAGCAGCTAACCTTAGTCTGAACCTTCCAAAAAGGCCCAGAGCCAGTGTGTGGCCAGCTTCATACTAAACTGGAGTACCACCCAACCACGTCCACGAGCAACACGCTCCAGGGGTGGAATTGGTAGGTACCAGGGCCCCACAGAGGTGAGTTCTACTCTGTGGGGTCAGCCTCTACACCAGTGATGGCGAACCTATGATACGCGTGTCAGAAGTGACATGCGAACTCATTTTTTTGGTTGATTTTTCTTTGTTAAATGGCATTTAAATATATAAAATAAATATCAAAAAGATAAGTCTTTGTTTTACTATGGTTGCAAATATCAAAAAATTTCTATATGTGACACGGCACCAGAGTTAAATTAGGGTTTTTCAAAATGCTGACACGCCGAGCTCAAAAGGTTCGCCATCACTGCTCTACACTGTAGTTCCTCCACTGTAGTCATGGCTGGTCAATCCCTCCCACTGATAAACCAACAACAATCAAGGAGGATACACATAGTCCACACACAGGGTATGTATAAACTGCCCAGCTCAGATGATAGGAGAGGCTACCCCACTGAACTCTACAGAACACCTACTACATTAAGACATACTACTAAGCCGAAACTGGTTTGGCTCAGTGGATAGAGCATCGGCCTGCGGACTGAAAGGTCCCAGGTTCGATTCCGGTCAAGGGCATGTACCTTGGTTGCGGGCACATCCCCAGTAGGAGATGTGCAGGAGGCAGCTGATCGATGTTTCTCTCTCATCGATGTTTCTAACTCTCTATCTCTCTCCCTTCCTCTCTGTAAAAAAATCAATAAAATATATTTTTTTAAAAAAAGACATACTACTAAGACTTGGAGATATAGCAGATCTACCAACTATACAGAAACAAACATAGAGAGCAGCCAAAATGGTGAGACAAAGAAACATGTCCCAAATGGAAGAACAGGAAACATCCCCATAAAAAGAAGTAAATGAAATGAAGGATATCAAATTACCAGATACTTCAAAACAACAGTTATAAGAATGCTTGAGGAACTTAGTGAGAAAACTTCAACAGCATTTTAAAAAACCACACCTAAAGACCATAAAAAAAGAACCACTCAGAAATGAAAAATACACTAACTAAAATGAGGAATACACTAGAAAGAATCAACAGCAGATCAGATGAAGCAGAGGATCAAATCAGCGATTTGGAAGTCAAGGTAGCAGGAAACAAACACCCAATTAGTGTAGCAAAAGAAAGGATAGTTTAAGGAAACTCTGACACAACAATATCAAGCATACCATCATTCATATCATAAGGGTAGCAGAAAGAGAAGAGAGAGATTAAGGAATTGAAAACATGCTTTAAAAATAATGACTGCCGAACTGGTTTGGCTCAGTGGATAGAGCGTCGGCCTGCGGACTCAAGGGTCCCGGGTTCGATTCCGGTCAAGGGCATGTACCTGGGTTGCGGGCACATCCCCAGTAGGAGATGTGCAGGAGGCAGCTGATCAATGTTTCTCTCTCATCGATGTTTCTAACTCTCTATCTCTCTCCCTTCCTCTCTGTAAAAAATCAATAAAATATATTTTTTTAAAAAATAATAATAATAATAATAATGACTGAAAACTTCCCTAACCTGGTGAAGGAAAAAGACACTCAAGTCCAAGAAGCACAGCGAGTCCCAAACAAGATGAACCCAAAGAAGTCCAATGGAGTACCACCCAATTAAAATTATGAGTACCATCATAATTAAAATGCCAAAGGTTAAAGACAGAGAATCTTGAAAAGTAGCAAGAGAAAAGCAGTTAGTTACCTAAAAGGAAGCCCCATAAGGCTGTCAACAGAAACTTTGCAAGCTAGATGAGCATAAAATATTTAAAGTGATGAAAAACAAGAACCTATAACCAAGATTACTCTACCCAGAAAAGCTATCATTTAGAATCAGAGGACAAAGAGCTTCTGAGATAACAAAATGTTAAAGCATTCATCACCACTAAACCAGTATTACAAGAAACATCAAAAGGTAAGAAGAAGGAAGGAAGAAGAAAAGAAGAAGAAGAAGAAAGAAGCAAAGAAGAAAAGAAGAAGAAGAAAGAAGAAAGAAGAAGGAGAAGAAATAAAAAGATAAAAAATATGAGTAATAAAATGGCAATAAATATATATATATGAATAATTACTTTAAAAGCAAATGGATTAAATTCTCCAATCAAAAGACACAGGGTGGCTAAATGGATAAAATAATAAGACCCCTACATATGCTGTCCACAAGAGACTCACTTAAAATCAAAAGACCGAAAGTAAAGGGATAGAAGATATTTCATGAAAATGGGAAAAAAACCAAAAAAAAAAAGCTGGTGTAACAATACTTATACTGGTCAAAATAGACTTTAAAACAAAGGTTATAACGAGACAAAGAAGCACCCAGCAATTCCACTTATTGGTATTTATCCAAAATAACCCAAAACACTAATTCAAAAATATATATGTATCCACATGCTCACTGCAGCATTATTTACAACAGCCAAGATATGGAAGCAACCTAAGTGTCCATCAATAGGGGTGAATGAATAAAAAAAAGTGGTACATATATACAACGGGATATGACTCAATTATAAAAAAAAGAATGAAATCTTGCCATCTGCAATAACATGAATAGACCTAAAGAGTTTTGTGCTGAGTGAAATAAGTCAGACAAAGAAAAATTTCATATGATTTCTAAAAAACAAAATAAATGAACAAGCAGAATAGAAATAGAATCAAAGATTCAGAGAACATTTTGACAGTTGACAGATGGGAGGGAGGATTAGGAGCATGGGTGAAAAAGATGAAAGGACTAAGAAGTACAAATTAGTAGTTACAGAACAATCATATAAAATACAACATAGGGAATGTAGTCAAAATTTGTAATAACTATGTATGGTGTCAGATGGTTATTAGTTTTATCAGGGTGAGCAATGCCTAAAAGGTATGCTGTACACCTGAAACTAATATAATATTATATATCAACTGTAATTGAAAAATAAAAAATGTACTAAAATAGAAATAAGAAAAATAATTGGGTAAATGTTTCTGTAAAATCTTATATCTATCATAAAATAAGATTTGCAAAAAAATGAAGAATATATCAAAACTTCAAGTTTGTTGTTATATCAGAATATTGCATCATAGGCATTTTCCTTGTTACTAATAATTTAGTAAGTATTTTTAATATGCTGCAGAATTGCTCCAAATAATCAATATATCTTGACTTAATGGCATGCATATTTGAACATTGTAGGTTATATAAAAAATCTCATAAGCATTTCTTGATTTGGGGAGTTTATAATTCTCAATAGCTTTTGCATGTGACTGATGATCTGTCTTGTTATTATTAATCAAGATGATGAACATAATGAACATGACTTTTTCTTGTCTTAAGCAACATAAAGGTGGAAAAGATTAATTCAAACTTATACATTCAAGATTAGCACACAATATTGAATCTCAAAATCACCTATATTATTGGTATCAATTATGGATTCCCAGGGAAGATCCATGATCTCTCTGTATTCAATCCTTAATCATAAAGCTCACAAAGCCTAGATTTGAAATTTATGGAGACTGAGCAGAGTCAAAACCAACTCCTACCTTGCTTAACTGGGAAATTTAGGTCTAAAGAGTAGATCAAAGTTTTCTCAGGTGTAGTACCATTTAACATTCTTCTCTATCTTATAAAATCAGGAAATTTTCTTTAGCTGTATGACTCAGTGATTCTAGTTAAAGATGTTCAATAAATTAATGAATAAGTATATGAATATAGGTTAGATTAGACAGACATACTTAGAGACAACACTATCTACACTAATAAAAGAGAAAGATGCAAAATGACTGTACCTTCGTGACACCCACCAGCCAATCAGGAGTGAGTATGCAAATTAATCCAACAAAGCTGGCAGGTTAATTTGCATATGCAGGTGCCGAGCGGTGGGGTGGGACACTTGCGTCGTCAACATGGCAACGATGTAGGTGTTATGCACTGCCCCAGCTGCTCCGGGCCCCTGGGCAGCATGGGAAGGCGGAAAGGTGGCTCCGGGCTGGAGCGAAGGCAGAAAGGTGGCTCCGGCCAGAGCGAAGGCGGTGCTAGCAGCCAGGGGAAGGAAGGCCCATTCTTTTTTTTTTTTTTTTTTTTTAAATATATTTTATTGATTTTTTAC